TAAACGTCACCTTCCATCACGTCACCGTACCGTAAATAGCACTGCGATAGCTAGATAACTACAGATCGATTTTATCCATTACATGTAAGTAGTTCCGGTAACTAGGTACTTGCATTGTCACGTGTTTGTGGCTCATTATTGTGTGAGATGAAACACGATGATGAAAAATAAATCTGTTCTTAACTTGATTGGCTAGATCTAGTTGTGTAATGGCTTTTACACCCTAAGTGCTGGTATTTTCCTTAAACGATAATGCAGTAAATTTTCTTCCCATATTCTCAAATTCTTGAACACGAATCAAATATGTTGAAGAATGTGCTGATGAATTATTATTCCAATGATTGCTGTCAACATTTATATACACATACCAGTTAGCCGAACACTTAGAGCCTCTTAAAGATACCGACATATAATGTGTCATTGTGTAGGACTTCATTGTCAAAGTAACAGAAAACGTCGGGAAAGCAATCTTCCCATCGTAACATCTCCGACAAATTTCCAGCAATATAAGGAAATTGAAGGGAATTCCCCCAATGTTTTCTGTACGCCATATATTTTTCCCGATTTCTCGAATGGATTTCGTTCCATAAAATATTACATTTAGTAAAACCAGGGTGGTTACTTGATATATCTAAAATACACCAGGCAAATTTTTAATACACCAGACAAATCTTGCAGGATCCATTTGGACTCATTGTGCGTCTCTGACACTATATTTTGGCGAAATTCAGGTAAATACAAGTATTTATGATGTTTTAAAACCTTATAAATGAAGCATAGCGATACAAACACTCCTACGTCAAGGTATTTTGATTATTTTCCTCAAGTTACCTGTTTATAAAGTTTGATTTATTTTGTTCATTTTAGTATCTCGACATCTGGTTAATTTTATATGATTTCTTCTTCACATCAACCGCTGCCACACATTTATGAACAAGAGTAGTGACAGCAGAGGGCTCATAGACATTCCCTGCTATCTATTTAAGCGCCCTATCCTCTGATATATACACTATGTATATCTGACAAAGTACATGTGCGAACTTTGGTCGGAGTAATGTTAGTAAAGAGAAATGTGTTTGTACTATAAATAAAGTTGAAGGCTGACATGAAGTTTTGCTGTTGTAAACAGTAAAATTCCACGTAGTCCGAAGGGAATTTCGCCACTTGTAATCGGCCCTTTTGATTTGACCAGAAGTCCTTAACGCTGAACATCTGGACGAGTGGTCTTCAAAATCTCTGACTACAAACTTAAAAATAGCGTTATGTTAGTAAGTGTCGCAAATATCTTCGAAAAAAATCGTCAAATCATAGTTTGGAATTAAAAGGAAGTCAAATATTTTCAGATTTACACACGACGACACCAATAAGCATTGACTGATTCTGTTGTTCCGGACTCTCAATGTTTTAATTTGTTGGGGATAACAAGTTATCTGCATAATTAAGTAATTTAACTGTCATTTGTAAATTGATCTTTTTATTGCAGGATCTAGTAACACGTGTACTTTAAAAATAGAAATAAAGATAAATCTCTACTGTTTGAACCCTCTGTGTCCATGGTGTGACGTCATGTCTTAATATCTCGATTCTTCTGAAGTCTAACTTTTAGTAACGACCTGACGCAACTTCATCGAGAACTGAATAGGTACAAGTGTCTTTCATCTCTTTTTTACATATCAATGCATCAGATACATAAGTACTCTCCAAATGGTTTAAAACATTGTTAAAGAAATCGATAATCGATTGATAAAACTGTATATTTTATGATATTTTATCTACAGTAATTAACAATGCCTGCTAATTATATGTAAAGCATAGGATTGGAAATTGCCCCTTAACAACTGTATAGAGCGATAGGGGAATGGCATCACATCATATTGAATTTGTGGGAAATAAAACCCTCCTTTGGCAATCTTCATTTCAAATATGTTGAAAAAGTGACACCAACACGTCTATTAAGTTTCATTTATTTGAGAAACATGTTAGATTCCCCACAAAACACTATTCTAAAATTTGTCAAAGCTTGAAAATATTGCTTGGATCTGTTTTTTTTTCAAGAATTTTTGATAACGGGTGCACAAGTCCTACCGACTATGTGCTATCGTCATTAGAATCGGTACCTTGTAAAATCGACGATGTATCGATTCTTAAATAGTCTAGACAAAGTTTCTGGAAAAGTAGACCTCGTTTTATTGTAATTTACATTGATATTAGATGGTAAACAAGTAGCCGTTTACTGACCATTTCAGCCTCGCCATCTGACTATAATAGCCGATGTATTACCAACTGTGTTAAGTCAATCACTGACCATCACAACGTATCTCACTTGACCATCTGCTGCACGTTTGTCTTCACAAAATGACCACCGATCGGTAGCGATTCTATAATTAACCAGGATTCATTGCTGATGATAGCGTATAATTAACCTTAAAATATGGTGTCAATGTTCGCCGGTTTGGTTGACAAGGGAACAATTCGTCGGGAGACTTCGATACGATGACGTCACGACACGGTTTTTAATAATTCATAATTTTTATTAAATTTGTATATTAACGTTCATTACTCGGTTAAAACGATGGTTTCCGAAGGTGAGGATGCCATTCGGAATCCACTTTGAAGAACGATGCAAGGAATACAGGAAAAGATGATAAATTGGGAAACAACATGACAATACAAGTTTTATAGCGAAATGTTAATTGATACATTGATTAAAAAATCATCAAACTCGAAGAGTTCATTGTCAGATTAATCAGAGTAGTAGACATTGCCTTAAATTATAACATACAACGCACGACGGAAGACAGATGAAATCATACACTTTACCAAAGAGGGAAAGAGAATGATATAATATTCAATTAAAGCAGGAAGTAGGATGACGGCTATTTAAGAGACGGCACGAGCACTACCGAGGAGGAATTTCGACATTGTCTAAGTTTCGGTCGAATCACCCTATTTGTCAATAAGGCGAAATTGGAACATAGGCCAAAACTTTAAGTTGAATCCTCTATACATGTTATCAGGAGTTTAAGGTGAATTGATTTTTTCAAATTTTTGACTGGGCGATAATAATTATATTACATGGGAGTGCGTTTACTCAAGACACCACACCAGATGGAAGAGAAATCAAAAGGAAATTCCAAAGAAAGATAAACAAGTGAATTACACCTTTACATACAGAAATAGATACAGTAGAACCGAACAATGAATTAAACTGCATCATAAAGCTGTTTCGTCCTTCTAGGACTCGTCAGTAATGCTGTATCATACAGCTGTTTCGTCCTTCTAGGACTCGTCAGTAATGCTGTATCATACAGCTGTTTCGTCCTTCTAGGACTCGTCAGTAATGCTGTATCATACGGCTGTTTCGTCCTTCTATGACTCGTCAGTGATGCTGTATCATACAGCTGTTTCGTCCTTCTAGGACTCGTCAGTAATGCTGTATCATACAGCTGTTTCGTCCTTCCAGGACTCGTCAGTAATGCTGTATCATAAAGCTGTTTCGTCCTTCTAGGACTCGTCAGTAATGCTGTATCATACAGCTGTTTCGTCCTTCCAGGACTCGTCAGTAATGCTGTATCATAAAGCTGTTTCGTCCTTCTAGGACTCGTCAGTAATGCTGTATCATACAGCTGTTTCGTCCTTCTAGGACTCGTCAGTAATGCTGTATCATACAGCTGTTTCCTCCTTCTAGGACTCGTCAGTAAGGCTGTATCATACAGCTGTTTCGTCCTTCTAGGACTTGTCAGTGATGCTGCGTCATAAAGCTGTTTCGTCCTTCTAGGACTCGTCAGTGATGCTGCATCATACAGCTGTTTCGTCCTTCTAGGACTCGTCAGTGATGCTGCATCATACAGCTGTTTCGTCCTTCTAGGACTCGTCGATAATGCTGCATCATACAGCTGTTTCGTCCTTCTAGGACTCGTCGATAATGCTAAGCGCCTAAATTTTGAAGGCGGGGAAGGATAGGGAAAACGCAAAAGTGATAGAAAGAAACGACGAAATCTAGAAAGGGAAGTACACTAGCAGTTTTCAAAATTTTTATATGTGATAATTTTAGCAGAACATCAAATGCACGTGTACTTGACCAATGTCCAATAACAATAAAACAACTGATAGAGTCCACAATAACAGTTGTTTCATTTAAAAAGATAAAATTTAGTAACCAGACTTATATAATGTAAGACTGACCAGCTACAGACATTGTACAACCGTGCAACATGCTTTGTAGGCCCAATTACATTTGATAAATAGACAGCTATGTCGTGACCTGGTTTATACCCTGTGATGATGGATCTGGGTTGACGTTTAACATTTTAAACAAACAGGATAAGTATTGATGAGTTATTTGTTGACATTTGATGTAACACCACAGATAAAGAACAACACGCAGTAACCAACAGTGCAACACTTTTCAGCGTTACAATAGCTGTATTCTAAAAGTGTTGGACGAATTGTGAAATAAGCCTTGTATCGAGACGATCTCTGACGGGTGATAGGCAACCAAAATAACACGTCTGCTAAAGTGAGAATTGCTTTGCTGTCATGTTCGTGTTGTGTACGAAACTGTCCATATGTAGTCTCAAGATTAGACCCGACAATAGTCTGGTTGTACAGTTATAACTGAAATAATTTCCTCGGGTTGGTATAACTTTTTACGGCACGTTTCGCTAGGTCTATTTGTGTTAAAACAATCATTGTAGTTAATATAAAGATACAGGCTGAAGGGCGTTAGATCATCATTACATCAAATCTGTTGAAACAATCGAACAACTGATAACCTAGGAGGTTCAAATTAACGAGAAAGAAGGTCAGACAACTGTATGAACAATATATTAACACGACAGACGTTTGCACAATAGTGAACTTGTTTTGCACTTTCTAAATCCAGGGAAAACAGACTTTGATATATAGTATCTTAATAAACAGTTGTTTCGGTGTTTCATGAGACAGATCTTAGGAGGTATGCTTTGTTGGTAAAATGAGAGAAGGGCAAGATATTGCCATGCAGTCTCGTGCGATAATGCCGAGTAGGGCGACATCCAAACTGGTCATTTTCAATGATAATTTCCTGACCTGAAGAAGGCGAGTAGTGAGAAAAGACATAAATACCTGGTAAGTTATATCTTTTAACGATTAAATACGTAATTCATACAATACTGTAGATTTGTGCCAAGTACATCTTGTCGCCAAGATTTACATTTTGAGGCTATAATTTAAAGTGGGGAGGGGGTAGACTATATCACATTGCATTGTACATATCAATGAAATAGAAATGTTAGCTAGCGAACCATTATGCGTTAAATACTGTATCATTCTCTGACATAAAGGTTAAAAAACAGGCCCATATGGCCGATGAACTGAAGCGTGGGGTCGTAGACAGACGGGTAGAGAGGGCGGCTCCACAGAGGGTATAACCAGCAAACGACATACGATGCATGTCATGTAGAATTTTCCTTCAAGCTTTTCCACGACAAGCGGAAGTGATGGTATGATATATGTTGATACAACTTACACGTGCTGAAAACAGTTTCTGTCAGTTGAGGAGGAGGGGTACATCTAGCCCTGACAAGTCTCTATTGCTACCTACAGTTCGGCACGCTGTAACAGATGGCATACACAAGCGTATGATCATGACATGATGAACACCATCATCATAGATTTTTATTTTTTTTATTTTATAATGATCATTTACAAATGCCCTATCCAAATGCTTGTATCACAGCCACTTTTACTTCCTAGCATTGTACATTTGGAATAACTACAATAAAACAGGAAGTCATGCAGGCCCTTAAATGAAAAATTTAATGACATTAAGGAGTTAATAAGTAAATGATACTCGGGGGAAAAAAACGATATAAAATTTAAGCTTTCATTCAGGTCCGGGAATCCTCGATACTCCAGGGGCTACGATCACTTTCGCTCTCTACATCCCTGGAACATATCATGACAAAAGTGAAGGCACAAGCGACATAATTTGATTGGTTCTAGGAGAAACAGACTGACCAATCACGGGTTGATGCGCTTCTTTTAAGAGTGTCCTAGGCTCGGTTATAACCGGAACAAGGACGTTAAGCCCCCCAATAGAAAGAAAGCCATTACGATACATGGTTATATGACCTCGATATTTGTCTGATGTACATCAAAGGATCAACATAGTCTTTCCGAACTGCTCTCAATGCATCGCACATGGAACCTTCAATTTTACCATGGCATGTTCCAGAGGTGCAGAGAACGAAAGTGATTGTAACCGCTGGAGTATGGAGGATGAGGTCTCAGTTAGTCAATGGTTCGTTAGAGTTAACCATTAATTAGTAAAAAAAATAACTCAAAACACATTAGCAATCTGGCCTTCTTAGTAAAATTACAGCTATGAAACGATACAAATGTTTCCAATTTGGTTTTATTCCAACTTGAAAATTTTCACTTCCCACTGGTTATCTCTAACATAACGGCCAGATATAATTTTCGCTTGGATGTCTGACGGGATAACGTTAGGGCTTTAGGTAGTACGTGATCATTGTCTGTCCAAACAACATGGAACCAAGGTTTGCGATCCATATTTCTCGGGATCTTCATAAAAATGTCCGACCAAATGAAAACTTTACTGTTTCTCGGCGTTTTATTTCAAAATCATGCATTATTACATGTTAACGTTTAACATCCAGTTTGGATTTCCTTCGGTCGCCTGTTTGGTCAACATTTACATTTTTTTCCTCACTGACTAGTCTTAGAAGGATGAAAAACTGTGTGATGTAGTCAATTCATTATTTGACACAATTATATATAATTCTCTGTGTTGAAATATGTCAGTCACTTGTGTGTATTTTGTACAATCTAATATTACATGTATTTACTATCAATATGAAATACTTTTGTTATTTCAGTTTGGAGTCCAAAGCAGACCAGATTTTACACCAGTTTTGTCCAGCTGCAGTTAAGCTGTGAAAGAGCGACATCTGTCCTAACGGTGAGCGGTACTGATCAAACTAGAAGGCACGCATGCCCGATCATATCGGCGCTTAGTTCATCCCAGTATCTCAGAGGCTCATCTGTTAAAAATGCTCTTGCGCATGCGCATCTAGATTCAAGCCAAGGTTAGATTTAGTCGTCAGGGTTTTAAAAAGTCTGATTACTATCAGGTATTTGTAATCACGTTAAAAGGCGGACGACTGTTTAATGCTGAATGCATCACTGATACTGCTCAGAAAGATATTTAAATCTATTAGTGAACAATGAATACACTTTTCATAAAAGTAAAAGGAATTACCGTAAAACATAGAAATGAATAAATCGGTCCAATGAAATGATTTGTGGTTGAGGTATGACTACGAAAATACAGATGACATCAACAAAGCTCTCGGCTATAGCTTTAAAGTGATTGCATGATTAAAACCATAATAGATAGAACGGAGATAGGTAGCCTGATCATAAATTTGTATGGCAAGTCACAGTCCTATTTATCCTTCGGTGTCTATAGTGTCTATGTGAAATCCGTTTGTGGTATAATACCACATATCATATTTTCATGATAAAAACTGATACGTGAATCAACACAAAACGCAGTAATTCCTAATAACTATTTGTTCAAGCACTTGGGACCAATTGGTATTGATTTGAAGAAAAATTGCTCCCTTAGTATCAATTGTATTTGTTAGCACCTGCGCAGAAGTGTATGGTATTGAATATTGTTAGAAACAAAATACACTTTTTAAGCTGGAAAATTTCCGTACTTGGAGCATGCGATCATAATGAATAATGTATTAAAATGCTTGTTTTTTATGTTTACACAGTCTGCAAAAATAATTTGTAACGACAATGTTTTTCTATTTCCTGTTTTGTCTACAAAAATAAAAAAAATAAAATGGACATTAAACTTTTTGTGCAAATGGAAGACCTGTTTCAAAGTTTGTTGAAACCCTATTCATTGTATATAAATTCATCGCTGTGACATTGAGGAAAATGTCAAAGACGTACTTAACATACTAGGCTGGCTACTTCAAACAAACATTTTTAATACACAAGTGACATAATTAACATTATTCCCATGGGTATTTCTATACATCATCCCTGTCCATCTTATTGTAACTGCTAAGTGGAGCACCTGCACGGAATCCACGGACTCGTTTCAAGTGCAAACAATTATGTAATCCGCATCGGTGGCGATCCGCCTCTTGTAATTTTACTTGAGGACTCGTAGCTGAAAAGGGGAAAGGAAATATTTGATAAAAATCTTATTGGATCTGGTGTTATTGTCAAGAGGCACACTTACAAACGAAGAATTACGATAGCATGTATCAGAGAGACGTCTACTTGGTCTACAAGTGGAGGCGACGCCCATGGATGACGACCCTGTGGTAAAGTTGGTCAAGTGATTTCCAACGTTCATTCATATACACTTTATATAGAAATATATATTATTCGAACTTTAAGGTATGCCTAGATGCAGTGTAGAATGGGTGTTGCCTTCCATTTTTGTTCATCATCACAACGTATAAACACAAATGATATAGCTATCATGATGATGCTTTGCTCTTGTTGGGTGTTGAATGACTTGCGCTTTTGCAACAGTGATGGTGTCGACGTGAAGACGGTGTTGATGGATGTGAAGACGGATAAACAAGAGTAACGTTCTAACTAAAATGACTTACCCGTGACATGCTAGCACGACACACAATCCAGTCATATGATGATTTTTCAAAGGGAGATATCCATGGAATGGTGCCGTGGTAAGGGGGGGGGGGGTATGGGAGACAAGACGCAGGGAAGACCTTAATTATGAATAGATTCATATCAGATGCATTTTACTATCATATAAAGTGTTTTTCCTCCAGAATATTTACACGTGATGTTTAATGAAATTATATTTCTGTGATAAGATTTACCGATGTACATCATTCAATATAGTGTAGTATAGTAACAACCCGAGTTTACCAAAATGTTAGCAAACCTGTAAACATTCTGTTGAATGAAATTCTGACAAACGTGAGACCTACATATCAATTAATTTCTCAATAAAGAATAACTTGTTTGAAGAGTAAAACATTTTTTTTGTACGATAACCATGGAAACTGTTAGGTCGCCTATTTTATCGGTTCTTACTGTCATCTACATGAATGTTACATGTGCGATTGAAATAGGTTAATACATATTACAGTGAAATCATTTCAAACACCATATTTAGTGTATTCTTTGTCTGTAGTTTTGCACATATCATAAGCATGGCTTGCAGTTGTATATGCTGTAAGTTTTTTAACAATGGTTTGCTTTTCGCTGACCGTTTCACACTCAATACTACACGTGTAGCTTCCATTGTTACGTTACGCTCGGCACGGTACATGCATGACAGGTATGTCTGTTATGCAAGGCGTGTGAACAACAGTCTGCATTTCCCAAGACAAGCTGGCAGGCCGTCACTAGTCCTTGTGTACGTCACAAGTGATTTACGTAATATGGCGCTAAGATGCAGATTTATGCAAAAGATAAAACATGAGCATCATACACATCTCAGTGAAGTACCTGGCAGCTCAATGAAGTACCTGATAGTCATATGTCTTGTACGAACGACCGTGTTTGTCGCAGTGAACCATTGTTAGACATCACGGTACGGGCTTTTTGGTTATTTAAAATCGGACCCTAAACATTTGTCTGGACACCTTTAATTCTCGGTGATTAGAGAAAAATTTGACCAAATGGTGTAAAGATGTCAAAAATGCCGATTTAAAACTACTCCACTATCTAAACAACGGCAAAAGCAACAACGACAACAACAAAAGCAACAACGACAACATGTTTGGAATTTTCATAGAAATACAATTTAGATGGTTAATAAAATACATTTTTAATTGCAAATAATTGATGAATGGTTAGGTATTAAACAATCTGTTGTTGAAGAAGGAATAATTTCTAAATCCCGAAAACTACTGATCTTATTCTCCTTGTACTTTTTCGGGAGTCTCCGGGATAAGCTTTGTTTTTTATCTTATTTCATTGAATTTGAAATTTGGATTATGATTATGTTAACGTGTAGATATTTTCTTGTTGTTTCCAGGAGAACAAACTAAAAATACTTGTTATTGGATCACAAGTTGATACAAGTGGCGGCATATTGGCGCTTGTAAGCAGCATATTGGCGCTGGTACGGGGCGATGACAATTCAACTCCTCGCACAATGTCTAGAACGTCTGCACAGTCGGTTTCTCCCTTGGGGTTGAGTTGATAAAGAGTTGGATCAACTCATCAATACTTTACTCTTTATGACCGAAAGTTATTTGATAATAAATTGCTGGAAACTATCATTTCATTCGTTTTCTCTGTTATTGCTTGCAGTTATGAATAATTTAGTATATCATATCGCTGAATATGCACTGCAGATATAAATAGTTCCCTTCTACGGACGAATCTTTGTACAAACGCTGCTAAAGTTGTCATAATACTGCATTTTTCATTCTACTGCGATATAAAAAATTACAAAGCAATGTCCATGTGTCGAAAATACAACTTACTACTTTTTATTTTTTTCGAATTTTAATGGTTGTCTGAGTTTAAATTTGTGATGTGAAGCTGACAGCAACACGCTTGCTCCAACAACTTCACGAAAAATTACCATCTGTCTAAAAATACGGGAACTGTCTAAAACAAAAACTGTTTATATCCATAGCCAAAACCAAAACCGCCCCTCGAAAAATAACTTATTGCAAGTCAACCAATATTCAGTACCAATCAATCCCCCGTAATTGCTTATAGAAGCAAAAAGCATATCCCTTCTATCAACGCAGTTGATACCTTTTTCTATAGCAAAGTACTTATTTCTACTCAAAATCCGTTCGTTAGAGTGAAAATCTACAATGACTAAAATTAAAAATAATTCCTTCCTTCGAAATACTAGTCTTACACCACTATCTCCAACGACCAGCACCTACAGAATTTTCAAAAGTATGGGTGACCTTCCTAACAAACAATAAGCTTAGCACTCTTCGACAGCCAACAAAACCGTACTAGTCACGTCCATAATTTTCTCTTAAGCGGCAAACAGAGGACAGCGGGAACAGCCACATTCGTTATGGGAATGGTGTGTGAGACAGCCCGAAGTGTCACCATAACAAACGACACGATACAGAGTTGATCGGGCTGGTGAAGCTCGTGATATTTTACAGATGGGATCTGACATTCAAGTTTCCATTTTATTGAATAAATTCATTCATAAATTTCACGAACAGATTTTTCATTACACATTCTGACATTTTTATTTCTAAATTGAGGCAGGTCTTGGTACTGTAATTTTCTCCACTTACACCAGCATTCAATGTAATGTATGGCGACTTAATGCTGAAACTCAGCTACTTACTCATACTTAACGATCATGTTTCAACAGGATTGAAAAATTTAAAACAATAAAGAACAGGCTTGACAAAATTCTAACATTATTTTAGAGAACATATATTACCATAGAAACAAAAATGAAAAGAATAATTCGTAAAACATCTTATTTTCGCAATGTTTTCATTATATACTGTATGTACATTTTTACGACTGCCAAGTTGTAAAACGAAGTGAAAAATAAAAATCCACGGAATAAAGAAATGCATTATTTACATTCCATCTAAACCGTAGTATATCTATTTAACATAACATTGATATGTCTAGACTGAATCAATTATCGACAATTTGTTTCAGTCTCGATTAAGAGACGGTTGAAGGAGGATCGTATCACACGACACCCATGCTTGTGTAAATCTAAGAATTATATGATATGGCTTCAGGGTGGGCATTTCTGATTGGTGATCATCGAGCTAGATTTGTATTTCACAAAAGACAGGACAATATAATTGATATGAAGCCTATGAAACAAGAACCTGGAACAAAAGATGGCCCTCGTCCCTTGTACACGAGACCTGTACCATGACTCACATTCATTAGTGTTTTCAGATTCTCCCTCGATAGGTGACGAGGGGACAACATATCCGCCAGCACGGCCTCAGGTCCTTAGGGAGGTGTTTGTTTTGGTTTGTAACTGGTACAGAGACCGCCGTCAGTCATCACATTATCCCCCTCCCTGCCAACACACTTTATTATTGCTTTTCCACTTCTTCACTGGGCTCTTTGTTCGTGTCTTTGTTTATTTTGAAACGCCCCATTCCGGAAAATGAATGCGGATTTAATGATAGGTATCTTCAAAACAGAGAATGTGTTGCATGCACTTACTACACAACTAAATTAATCATTATTGCTCAATGCAATGTATCTTAATTTCAACAAAAATACTCCTAGATAAATTCACAGTAAAACAAACTCCGGGCTACATATGACATACTCCCATAGGTCAAATGGCGTCACGTCTTACCGCCGTCTTCAGATGTCATCATCGCATCATTAGCGCAATATATATCATACAGCTGTTTCGTCCTTCTAGGACTTTCAGTGATTCTACATCATACAGCTGTTTCGTCCTACTGGAACTCGCCAGTGATGCTACATCATACAGCTCTATCGTTCTTCTTTGACTCGTCATTGATGCTACATCATACAGCTGTTTCGTCCTACTGGAACTCGCCAGTGATGCTACATCATACAGCTCTATCGTTCTTCTTTGACTCGTCATTGATGCTACATCATACAGCTGTTTCATCTTTCTAGAACTCGTCAGTGATGCTACATCATACAGCTGTTTCTCCCTCTAGGACTCGCCAGTGATGCTACATCATACAGCTGTGTCGTCCTTCTAGGACTCGTCAATGATGCTACATCATACAGCTGTGTCGTCCTTCTAGGACTCGTCAGTGATGCTACATCATACAGCTGTGTCGTCCTTCTAGGACTCGTCAATGATGCTACATCATACAGCTGTGTCGTCCTTCTAGGACTCGTCAGTGATACTAAAGGCTTAAAATTTGAAGTCTATGAAACAGTAAGGAAATGTTCTGTCGTTAAAAATGTGAAAACGAGGCATTTTATAAAAGCAACCCACACATTCATTTCAATACAAAAAGAAAAAACTGGCAACACTTCCTAACTACAGCGGCTCAGTATTTAACTATACATTTTAAAAGCATTAACTTTAGTAAATGAAACAATATGTCATAAATGATTATACAACACAGATGAGGGCATGCTAATGATGTGCTGTGGTGATGATAGTTTTTTTATTACGATAGAATATATTCTAAATTCTTAACTAGAGGAAATGACGTGTTTACTTTTAAAGTTCCGAACAATCGTCTCCTTAACATGCCTGAAAAGAGCAGGTGTTTTCTGACTAAAAAAACAGTAAGACAAGTCCTCATCCTTTCGCAACCATTCATCAAAATATACCCCATTTACTTTTTACTTTGAGACAAATACACACAACTCAGAGTGTGATGTTATAATTGAAGATAACGTGGGCTTTGAATTCAAAAGCTAAACAGCTTTAACTCGTTAATTACTATTGAAGTGCGATATGTCTTCTGTTAATTTGATTTTGAGAAAACCTGTCTATCGGCTCCTTGAGATGGTTGTCCTTGAATATCTTATAAGAGATATATGTAAGTAGTCTAGTTGTTAGAAATGTTAGTTTTAGTGTGTAACGTGGATATAAAGTGTTTTATTTATGGACTTTTAAGTTCTAATTTCCTAATTTTATCCACGAAAACAATGCTGTACTTTAACCGAACAAGATAAATCTGCCTTTACTCCAATGTTAGCATCCAAGGCTGGCACAAAGAGGGGAAAATTGAATGATTAAGTGCATATAGCTATGTATTGAGATTCCTATCCTCGAGCACGCCTGTCAGTCTTATCTGCCATGTTGCACTTGTAAAGCAAGGATGTGCGGATATTAAGCTGACATGGGTACAGTAGATAAACATCCATTGAGCTTTGAGGATGGGGCTCAAAGTCTCATACATGTGCATCTCCTGCAGTTTTATAGTGAATGATAATTACAGCGATAATATCACTTTGACACATGCCATGAACATAATTCATTTGTATTAATTTCCAGTAAACACACGAGTGGATCATTGTTTTGTTAAACACACAAAAAGGCATGTTTGTATCTGAGACAGGCAAGAACGGAGTTAGCACAATATAGAGTTGTGTTAATGACAAACATGACATTCGACCTTACTATATATAAAGTGGCGTTTTTCGTCCTTAGTGACTGTCTTTTTTCTGACCGTCTTGCGTCTCGACAAAGTAACTAGTTTTCAAATGAGGAATCGTCACTGCTTTCGTGACACGGTTGTCATGTGAACCATGATTTAAAAACCATACCAACAACACTCAATACCTGGAACGCGACAACATTACCACGATGAGACCTCACTTAATATCTGGAATGCGACAACATTATCACGATGAGACCTCACTCAATACCTGGAACGCGACAACATTACCTCGGTGAGACCTCACTCAATATCTGGAACGCGACAACATTACCACGATGAGACCTCACTTAATATCTGGAACGCGACAACATTACCACGATGAGACCTCACTCAATACCTGGAACGCGACAACATTACTTCGGTGAGACCTCACTCAATACTTGGAACGCGACAACATTACCTCGGTGAGACCTCACTCAATATCTGGAACTCGACAACATTACCACGGTGAGACATCGCTCATTATCTGGAATGTGACAACATCACTCAATATCTGGAATGCGACAACATCACCTCGATGAGACATTACTCAATATCTGGAATGCGACAACATCACCTCGATGAGACATTACTCAATATCTGGAATGCGACAACATCACCTCGATGAGACATCACTCAGTATCTTGAACTATAAAACACCATTATGAATATTTAACACGTCATGGAATTGACACAGTACAGAAATGTTATCTCTTTGTGAAATTATATCTCATGAACGCTTTGCCAGGTGAAGGAATATACAATGTATGAACTAGTCACTATACAATGTAACTATGAGTAATATCAGCGAAAATATATGTGCTATAATGTAATAATAGCGAAAATAAATGTACTACAATGTAACATCAGCAAAAATAAATGCACGCCAGTGTAACATTAGCGAAAACAAATGTACTACAATGTAACATCAGCGAAAATAAATGCACGCCAATGTAACATTAGCGAAAATAAATGTACTACAATGTAACATCAGCGAAAATAAATGTACGCCAATGTAACATTAGCGAAAATAAATGCACTACAATGTAACATCAGCGAAAATAAATGCACGCCAGTGTAACATTAGCGAAAATAAATGTACTGCAAGGTAACAATAGCGAAAATAAATGTACGCCAGTGTAACATTAGCGAAAATAAATATACAATGT